CCCCCCCCCCCCCTCGAAGTACCAAGTGTCTAATACCTATTAGCAACCGCGACGTGTTTACACGAATCCCCTCCCATTTCCTCAGAAATCCATTTCGCGGATTATTACGTCCTTCGAGATCCATTACCAAACTTTCCTGGTCGAATCGGTTGTCATTTCCGCGAGTGACAAACGCAGTTCGCCGAAAGTAAATTTCAAATAACTCGTCCCCGGTGCCTTTTATCGGCCGGCCTCCATCTACTGCCTAAATTCCCCGTCAAATAAGAAACGAGGGATCGAACGTCGTCGATCCTATCATGGAACGGCAGTTATCGCGGCACGGTTTAGTAACGCATGAATATTCTCGCAAAGAATGGGGCAAATGTCACGCGTATTCTGTTACGGCAAACCGATAGGTTCCATCGGTGTGATGTGCAGGTGTTGTATGATGCCAAAGATCAATCGATACAGAATAAAAGCCAACGAAGTCTCCCGTTTCCCGCCCCTGTATTTTATCGCGTTGCTCGCGTGTCTTTTTTCCAGTCCTCCAACAGCTCGATGCTCAACAAACAATCACCAAATACGTTGTCATGCCGGAAATGATCTGCAAATACATCATTCAACATTATTCGATAACACGCCGCATGGCAAACGAAGGGTGCAAACGTTCTCGACCAATGTTCTAATATTAATAACATACTCCATAAATTTCCAATTCCACGGTAGAACCTCGGCTATCCGAATTCTTTATTATGCGAACAAGTTTCACAGCTGAACGATTTAGTCTGAGATGATGCACATGCAATGATTGATTCATTGTACAAATCAATTGGAATTTAACCTTGGCCTTGTAACTAATTTTTAGTTACAAGGGCACCTGTTATCTGAACATGTGGTCCCCCGATTTGTTCGGATGATCGAGGTGTTTCCGGATTTTCAAAGAAATTCGCATCGAGAGAAGAACGATTTCTACCGGAGACTTACTGAGAGTAAAAGTGGCAGATCGACGCGTACAAAGCCTGCCACAGTGAAGAAATGCACCTTCCTCAGTTGGAAATATCCCACCACCTCCAGATTTTTCTGAGACAGATCAAAAGAGATGTCGTAAGCGAATGTAATGATGAAGAAATAACGAGACGAAACATGTAGCTTGCCAGCACTGTCCAATAAATTTTCGATTTCCTTTTGTATTTCAATAAACAGAGCAAACAAATTCTTATTGATTTCAATGCGTTCAATGAGCCGAATTTTCTCAACCATTCTCAGTTTCGTGACATTTAATTTTGTCTCAATAAGAAAATTCCCAAAGACAGTTCCAGATGATCGGTTCCAGTATCGTTATTAAGAAGAAAATTTGTGGGTCTGTATTGCCTGCCGAGGAAACTGTTCCGAAGGAAATCGCATCGATGGATTGTTCAATTTTCAATTAAAAAATTGCGTAGTACAGGTCTCACTCGCTGTTTATTAATCATTAAGGCCATTAAGGAGTAATTCAACAAGGAACAATGTGTCCAATTTATTAAGGACAGAAACTGTGAAGCAGGGAAAATTAAGTGACCATAATTAACCAGTGACCATAGCTTGATTCTCGCGACACACATGGTAGGTGCGCGCCCTAAAAAGGAGGTGCCACAGCTAACTGGTTAAATGATGTCGGTGAACAACGAAGACGCGTCAGCACTTGTAATGAAGACTAAAATGGCCGGTGAAAATGCAGCAGAAATTCGAGAGATATGTGACAGTCGGATTGGCGTACTGAAATACTTCGCGCGTTCACTGCCAGCATTGAATCTCTGTAACAATTACGTTTTGCGTTGCGGCAAATTATTTCGTGCAACGTTATTGAACGATCGCAACGCATCGCGTATTCTGCAACGGGTTTTTATTTCGTTTAACGTCTCGTGTAGAGAGTGCGTGAAGTGGTTGTGTGAAGTCTGTTCCACGAAAAAGCGTGGACGCGCGATATCTTTTGAAAAATTCTTTCTTTCTGTAAACATTTTCATATTGGATCTTGCACATCCAATCTAGATTCGCATTTTCTTATTGTAAGTATTTTCTCCCGCAATCTCGATCAATTGTAATCTTTTCAAAATTTCGTTTGTATGTTGTCTAGTAAACTAATCCTTTTAAATTTTCAAGAAATTTGAAATTGTTTGAATGAATTTTTAGAACGTTATTCTATTTTGAAGACTATACGAATATTAATTAGGATCACTCTATGTTTATAATAATACAATCTTCAATCAAACGCAGATTCACGCCCGCGCTCTTACGGAATAGATTATACAATATAATAACATATATTATAGCTGCGTGTCCAGTGCCAAAACATGCGATAGTGATTTACTATTACGAACTTCGGTTAATAGACAATGCGAAGCATTTAATGGAATACAATTGTCCTACCTGCAGAGAGACACCCTTTGTGGAAACAGATGAGGATGGCGAAAAGATAATCTCCCCGACTCGATTAGCCTAAACACAGTTTAGTAACTATTACTGCCTGAAAGACTGAGTGAAATGCTTTTCAGAAATGCTCGCTCAAAATACACTCCCAAAATTGTCATGCATATTCGTTTTAGTATATCCTCACAAACAATGAACTATTAGACTTTCTAAGAAAATTGCTGCTTATAAGTGGACAAAAGTACAGCTTCATTTACAAACGACAATTTATTCGTAATTTAATTAGAATAAAAATTCTTCCTAAGAATCAGTGACTGATCATCAATGTTAAGCTAGTTGTGTGGTAAATTTTCATTCGCATGCCCCCGTCAAGCTGCTATAAATTTTTTTAAAACAAAGTTTGATCGATTTCCATTCAGGCATTGGCAATTGCTTTTTCTTTGCTTATCCAAGTAACATTCCCGTGTATGTACGTAATTCCGCGAAAGGAAAAAACAGAACAATACTTCTAATATCAACGGTGAACGATTCAAGAAATAAACGAATCCATAATTCTGTCCAGCAGTGTGTCTTACGTTGCAATAAAATCAGAATGAAGTAGAAGATTTTACAGTGTTTGCAACAGAATGTGGGTGAACTTTAATTCGAAGAACGTGTGAAATTTACCTGGCGAGCTGTGGCGTGACAAATAGCTGTGATCAGGAATAGGTGCCATCCACAAACGAATACTATCGTCGAATCTCTTATTAACGCGTCTTTGGTCAGTTGAAAAACGTTCATTGTATAGATTCTGGACATTGAATTGAAAGACAAAGTGGAAATCCACAACAGCAACTGCACCGCATACACGGAATTCAGCATCTCCGTTGCGTTCACCAAATAGCAATGTAATTGCCATATTTGTTGTAACGTGAAGCGTGTATCCAGCCGACTGGATACGAACAGTATTTGTTCTTCTGGCGAATAGGATGAAATAATCTTATGTTAAACGAGTACACGTGGAAAAGATGATTAAGAATGGAATAGTAATGATTGTAAGTATCAAACAAGGCAATTATAAATCTTCTAGTGTCAATCTCGAAGTTTGTCTTGACACTGTCCAACAAATTTGGACGTTGTAACACATAAGACTCATTATTAATCCTTTGCACTCGAGTGGTGACTCTGAGACACCATTAAAATTTGTTATATCACGTTCTAAGATAATTTTTATATTAACCCTCTATGGGCCGATTTTTTTCTTAAATATGAAAAAATTTATGCAACGGAAAATCTATTACTATAAACCTATATATGCTAGTTAAAAAAATATTTAACAGTTTAAACAACTTTATTATAATTAATTAAATTTGTAACTTTGAAGTAACAACGGCTTACAATGTTTCCACTTCTGTGCATAAATGCTTAAGCGTGAAATTCCATAAAACAGTTTCAATTTGGCGTTAAACATTGGTGTACGTTGCATTTGGAACTGGTTGCCAAATAGTTTTTTGTGGTCCTGAATTTTCCTTATCCGATGATAATTCGGTACTAAATTCATCGTCGCTGTCGATAATATTTACGCGTCGTCTGGTAAATGCTGCTGGATGATCTTCATTGGACTCAGAATCTAATAAAAAATATTCCGATCTATTACCGCTAATGCGTCTAATTCTAATTCCTCTTTTATTTGTATATGATTTTGTATCCATATTTTGGGTATTCGATATATAAATTTGAAAATAGAAGAAAGCACAACTATTATCCTAGATACACTCGAATCTACCACAATATCCCAATGTAACCTGAAAGTTACAAAACTGTATCATATACAAATGGTAACAAAATGATTATTGAAATGCAAATAAATAAATTGTTATTGATATACGAACCCAGAGCTATAATATACGCTTTTTTTCTATTTAGTAAACACCGACAAAAGCACAAATAATCTCAATTGCACAAGATGGCCTCTTTGGTTTCTATCTGCAGACAAATTACAAGATATTTATTTCGACATTTCAGGTTGATAGTGCTGCCAACCGTCATCAATATTGTTATTGGTTATTTCAGAGGCATTATATAATTAAGACGTATACATCGTCTTGTGAAAAAAACTAAAACTATTTGGTAAAATGTGGATATATTAGCTTGTGACTTGAAAGTTACATGGGCCCATAGAGGGTTATCAAAATTTAGATTTAAATAATTGTTAAGGACGTAACTGTTGCGTGAGTCACAAGAGTCAATTTCATATGCATAAAATGCACTTTGTCGTATAAAATAAAAATACTATAAGCCAGAAAAATTATTTTAAAATTACAGTTGGAATAGCTTCGAGTGCAAAGGGTTAATATGTATTATACAGTAATTTTTCCCGGGAATGCCAAATCTCGAGTTCCTGTGAAATTCCCTGTGCCAGTCCTACGCCTATGTAATGTATTGCTACGTCGATGCTAAGGGTCGACGGAGTCGGTCAAACGTGTGATGCGGCACGCAACGCGGCTCCTTTGACTCGAATTCCCGGAAGACAACACAAAATAGTCTGTTAGGTGCAAGGCAGGTAAGAAAAACAGTCAAAAAAGACAAGGGATCGTTTTTATTTTAGGATTACTATGTATTCACATTAATGTACACCGGCATGCTGGCTGCTGCCATTTTTTTTGTCGACTGCCCCGAGTTTTTAGCGACATAGAATTCTCAGATCTGCCGGTTTCAATTCCGACCTCTGAACATTTCTAGGAGAAATTACTGTATTTGTATTTAAAAATAGTGGCGCGGTCGCTGTGATGGCAATCTTGCAGAATTACCTCATTCTCCCAATTAGAAAACACAATCTATGTCAGAACTGTTCAACAGCTTGCTTGTACGGGCAACGATTTTCTCCAGGATTGACGCTCACTTTTTGATGAAATTTGGTACAGTGATAGAGCTTGTAAAGCTGAATCCAATGATACCCGGTTTTAGGGCAGACAGCTTAAACTTGTTGAGATAATTAATGTTAAAGCTGCTAATAAAAGACCAGAAGGACACACTGAATTACGCAGCCGGGCACCGCGCGGCAGGAAGTGGAGGAGGGGGGTCTCGCTGCGTAATCCAATGCGTTGTTCTGGCCTTTTATTAGCAACTTTAACATTAACCCTTTGCACTCGAAACCATTTTAACTGTAAATCTAAAATGATTTTTCTGACCTACGCTGTCTCTATTTTATATGACAGAGCGCATTTTATGCGTATGAAATTAAGTCTTGTGACTTCTACAACAGTTTATACTTCTAACAATTTTTCAAATCTAAATTTTCTTGATGTAAGAATTATTTTGGAATGTGATATAAACATTTTTTAGTGATGCCTCGGGCGTCACCACTCGAGCGCAAAGGGTTAATAATTGTGTAGGTGATTACTTTAATAATGACCACATAAAGGAAAAATATTAAATTTGTTGTATTAAAACCCTTTGCAGTCGGAGCTATTTTAATTCGAAATCCAAAAGATGCTTTCTGATCTGCAGTATTTTTATTTTACATGATTCGGTGCAGTTTATGCATCTGAAATTCTGCCTATTGGCAAGTACAATAATTGCAATTTTAACATTTTTTTAAATACAATAAATCTGGTACTGTTACAATTATTGAATGAAAAATGGTATAACAATTTTTAGTGGCGCCTCAGACTCGCCGCTCGAGTGTAAAGGGTCAATTATCTCAAAAATTGTAAGCCATCTGTCCCCAAAACCGAGTATCATTGAATTCAGCTTCAGAAGATCTATCACTGTACCAAATATCATCAAAAAGTGAGCATCAAACCTGGGGACTTCTAGGGAGAATTTATTGCATTTGGTTGAAGACGATGACAAAGATCAACTGTAGATTACGTCGAGATTGAGTAAAATAGAATGAATATCAGACGATTGGGATATAACGGTAACGCGAGCGAGCGAGTGAGGAAAGATGACATGAAAACATAAACACTTCGTTCTTTCTCTTCTCACGTCCCCACTCCGCTAAGACGTTTGCCCGTAGCTTTGCCCGCAGCTTTGCTCTTGCCCGCCACGAGGCCTGTTGAACAGCTCTGATCCATGTTGTACTTCATTATAGGTTTTTATATAAAAGTAGGTTTACTCCATCGCGCAATATAACCATTCAAAGATTATGAAAAAGTATACAGTAATGTCTCTCCAATTGACGATCAGATTGTCCATAAAAATGGACAATTTGGGAAGAGGAGATACGATTATTCGATCCTTGCGGTTCATTTTTATAGTTACGAATTGTCAACAACTATAAAAACGAGCTGCAATGATTGTCCATTTTTGTGCACAATCTGAGCGTCTGTTAGGGAGGCATTACTGTACTATTGTATTTAGACGAGTCTAATGTAGACGCGTTTTGCGCAAGTATCAAACTACAATTTCTCAAAAACTGAGAACAATGAGAAAAGTCTGCAAAAATCAGCAAATAGTTGGGACCGTAAAATAAAAATCGACAACATTAAAAGTAAATAGTAGCGTAACAAATAAATGTTAGTAGGTAATATTAGAGATCGACTGAATCATAGGTATACGGCATTAAGACGCGTAGTTTCAAGCACGGGCAAGTTCAAGGAAAGCAGGATAGATATAATAAGCAAATACATATAATCCCGCGAAATGCGTTCGCGCAGCGGAAAGGAAGTTAAACAAATCTGACGGTAAATTGCAAATGCAGAGACGGAACCGATTGAAGCCATAAAAATAGTTGCCAAATGCGTGACTGAGTCGTTTCGAGTATGTATACTCACCTGCGGAAAATGTTAGTATATTGCAAAGTTGTCGGAACCTTTCGGCGATAAGAAACGAAAAACAAATGAATATCAAGATCTGCGTGAACAATGATGCATCGATTATGGCGTATATTGTTCCGCGGAGTAAAGGTGCTATAGCTTCGACCCTAGAAAATTATAAAATCGTGTGACGCATCAAAACGAAAAAAATCCTGGTCAAATTGGACAGTGTACTTGTCTCATAAAGTAGTTTGGAGCTGTTAGTAATATTTTGACTTTGGACCACGATTTGTAATCACGCTTGTTGACAAGAATTCAGTTAATTTGTTATTTAAGTAGTTTCATCCTTAAACATATTCAATTAAAAAAAGCTTAAACGACAATTTTTGCATTCTTTTAATCTTTCTGCTCATTCATTTTTATCAGTGATGTCATCAAATCTTCAGCTATAAAAATTAAAGGTTTTGTTATCGGTTGAAAAGAGTATTCTTACAGCTTTGAAATAACTACAAGCAAAAGTTATTTAGCCAAAGTAAAACCGAAGTAGTAGGTAAAAAAAGTTGTACGCAACTTAATTTCTCGTGGCATACAATAAATATATATTCTACAAATTTGAAAATGGAATGATCATAAAACCCCAACACTAAAATAATCGTGCAATCAAATCGGTTGTCCGTAGCATCTTAAAATCATACATATGTAACCTTTGAGACATCGCGGGAGATTTTACTGCGACGTGCAAATTGACAAATTAACCCTTTGCACTCGAGTGGTGACTCTGAGGCACCGTTAAAATTGTCGCATCACTTTCGAAGACAATTTTTATAATATCAAAGCTTAGATATAAAAAATTGTTAAAAGTCTACCTGTTGTATGAGTCACAAGACTCAATTTCGTATGCATAAAATGCATTTTGTCCTTAAAATGGAAATACCGTAAGTCAGGAAAATTAATTGAAATTTACAGTTAACACGGCTTCGAGTGCAAGGGGTTAAGGTTTCTAGAAAGTTGCACCGTTTCAACGTCAACGGCCCCGATACTAAACACCAGCCAATGTAAATTCATTTTATGCCCACGCTCGTGTCAAGTCTCGAACGACGATTTCATGCAATTCTTGTCTACGGTAGAGTTTCATGGTCCATCAGGGGGATAAATCGAGTAACAAAACTTTGGAACCGTGTTAAGACATTTTCAGAAAGTTCAAGGGCACCAGTTTCACCGAGCCAACGTCAGTTCGAAGTCGTAAAAATTTGATAATCCCTTAAACGATCTTGATGGCTATCGACCCTTGTTGAAAGCCATACCTGTAACTCAAGTATCCGGTTAACGTCCAGTACATTAATGTAATGAACGAGAGTGCGCGACATATATGCCGCACGGTACCGCGTCTCGAGGAATTATCGAAGTTCGTGATACGGTCGAAACTTCGCAGATGAGAAAGAACGATGCGGATCTTCCTGTTCCACAACGTGGTCAAACACGCGTCCGTGAACACGCAGCTATAGATAAGGGCCACTCTCGTGAGAACGAAAAACGCGGTCATCAGGTTCGAAGTTTCGAATTTGATCACATGAATAGATAGTAGGACGAAACTGCTCAAATATAAGATCATCGAGAAGGCGACGAAGACCACGTTACGGCGAGTCCTGGTCTTGATGTCGTTCTCGGCGGAGCTGTGAGCAGCGCAGCCCAAAATCCGGGCAATAATGAAGATCGAGCTCATGTCGCCGACTATCGTCATGATATCTAGTTGCGACGAATTTCTCTCGCGGAGATTCAATCATCCGGATGAAAATAAAAATTCAGACGGCGATTCGTGAGAGTTTGCGTTTTGCTCGCGCGATTTAATTTAAAAGTGTATACGGATATCTTGATCGTAGTACAAATTCGTTCGCGGCACTACGGTAACCGCACTGAAAGCACGTTTTAATACGAGCGGAACGGCGTGCCGACTGAACGTTGGCGTCTAGACGAAAGTTTCTCCTGATCAGCGGATCATCAAATAATGGAAATACAAACAAATTTGCCGTCCATGGTCGAGGGTTTAAATACGTAATGTCCTCGCCGGTTATCAAGATTCAAAGTTATTTGACTATTCCGCCAAGCAGCGAAAGCAGTCAGCATTAACGATTCGGTAACAAATGTGTCGCGCAACGTCGGAAGTCGTTAAAATGCTCACCGAATCAATGCTTTCCAAGGTAAATTATTAAGATGTACCATTAACAAACGAAAACCACGGCTGGGGGCATTTTTAATCACCATGACTTTCGTATATTTTTTCTAAGCAAAAGTTTCAGCCACCGACCGTTGTTCGTCGAACGATTATTAATGACAGATTCGTACGTAAAAAATGTACACCTTTGCTATATTTCAAGATGATCGTGGTATTCCTTAATTGAGACGGCATACCTTGATTAGTAGAATGTTAAGCTAATGAAAAGACAAAATTCAATTATCTGTGATATGTATCTTCAAACTGTCTTTAATATTTTCGTACCAAGAAATAATATCTTTCGTATTCAAACAAGATGTTTATTGCATAAATCTAATTATAAAAGATTATCTTGATATGAGGAAATTTGTTAATGTTATTTGTTACGTCGCACGGGAACGAAACACGTGGAATCTTCATTGACAGAGTTTATGACACGAACGCGACGGAGAGACTATTTTTGAGATTAGGACAAATTTCACATTTCGCGACCGTTCGATGTCCATATTTCCATTTTCACCAGCACCCGAGGCTACCGACGGTTGACCTGGAGGAAGCTCGTAATGTTGCCAAGGTCTTCGAAGATTCCACGTCCATGCTTCTACCTTCACCAAGGGTAAGGCGTGGACGATATTTAAAGGACGCGCTAAATGAAACATTGCATCTTTTCTGCAAGGACCAATCAGCGCTCTTACTCTGCATGGCAATGGGAGTCGTCATACGGACGACTTCAAAAAACGAGACTACTCGAGTCTCAGAAGTCATTCAACTTTCTCGCGGTCAGTACAGTAACGTCTCTCTAACTGATGCTCGGATTGTGCAAAAAAATGGACAATTTGAGAAGAGGAGATACGATTATTCGAGCCTTGTAGCTCGTTTTTTATAGTTGTTGACAATTCGTAACTATAAAGACAAACCGCAATTAGAGAGACATTACTGTACTCAGAAGTCGCATCACTCTTCTCGCGATCGCTACTAGCAGAAGTCCATTCAACCTTATCGGGATCACTAATAGCGGAAGTCATTCACACCTTCTCGCGATCTCTCGTATAAACAGTCGAAATGAACAGTCGAGTCAACTGTCTCTCTCGCCAATTGGATCCGATTGCCTAAGATTAATTTGGCGCGTCCCCAAGTTACAACCCCCTGGATGGGTACAAACAAATACGCGCGTTAATGCTTGCATCGTCGATGCATTATTTATAGATCTATGACGTCAATAGCTTCTATAAACTTCAAAAAATGCGTGCAAGGAAGGTGATTTACCGAAACAATTTTTCGAATGTATTTGTGCTGCAAAACTTTTTCTGTTCCACGAGTGCCGTTCCACTGCTGTTTTAGCTATTTTTGTTTAAACATTAGGTTGCAAATAATACGGTAGAGTACTAGAAGGTATCATTAGGGAAAGAAATGTTTATAATTATTGAACAGAGCTAAAAATAATAAATTCATCGACACATTTATACTTTAAAAATCACTCTGTATATTTGACGTCATTAATTGTTTCGGGAGCTCTTAACCGTATCTCTAACAAACGGGATTGTAATAAATATTAAGAAGCAGGAGAATAATAAATTCATTAATAAAATCAGTTTGATTTGATAACTTATATATATATATATATATATATATATATATATATATATATATATATATATATATTTTGTGTGAAAAAGTAAAATTGTGAAGTAAAGTCTTGCGAGCGCTCGATAGCTTCCTTGCAAAATAAATTGTTGCAAACATTAAATAATTAGAAATAACCAAAATGATCGATCGTTATCGATCGCGGCGATCAACGTTCATCGAAGTCTGTGGGGGAGGTAACCGCCATTCTCGGTTATTTGGTCGGCTTAGCGATGTGGCTCAAGCAGTTGCCGCTGTTGGAAGCAGTCGTGTTCAAGGGGGTACTCTTGTAGAAGTGGTCTGACCAAGGCTGGACCTTCAGGGTGGCCACTACTGGACAGGGTTTCGAGACGAGGAGACACCACTTGAAATGAGTGAGACGCCTCTCGCCACGAAGACCTGCTACTGGAGGTTTTCACAAATGTGTTTTTTCCTTTTATTTAAAATTTTTATTTTATAGTGTTTTCTAAGTCGCGATTTTGACTTTAACTTATGTTACCTTCTCCCAATTTAAACGAATATTATTTTCTTTTCAAATTTAATCTACTCTATTTGCTCTTAAAATCGAATTTTAGTTTTCTTCTCCATTTTAATCGAAACTTAATACACTTTTGCCTAAAAGTAAATTTTATTTTCGCTTCCCAATTTTATTTGAAATTCTCTTTAAATTACGTCATAAGAAACAGTTTCAGAATTAAATGAATCAAAAAGTATGATATTTTGTAAGATCCACCCTATCGATCTATAGCCAATAGATTTTCATTTTTTAAAACATTTATACAACTCTTTTCGCGCACTGCATTGAACCTTCTTCTTTCGAATGGTACCGTTTTGGCATAAAAATTAATAATATCGATAACATAGAGCAACAAATTTGACAAGTATAAGGTGGTGACTATGTAGAAGGACTATCAACTAATGTTGTGAATTAACCTTAGAAAGATAACCATATGACAACGTACGTAAAAGATAACCATACGCTTCAGAGGCGCATGCTTTTCTAAGGCGTCAATTTTATACTAACAATGGATATTTATTTAAGTTAATCTAGTCATTTTAAAGGTTTGGCATTATTGTAAAAATAAAATGCATTTATATTATATTTTTTTATATTTTAAGTAATTTTAAACTTAAATCACTAGACCTCTATGANGTCTGTGGGGGAGGTAACCGCCATTCTCGGTTATTTGGTCGGCTTAGCGATGTGGCTCAAGCAGTTGCCGCTGTTGGAAGCAGTCGTGTTCAAGGGGGTACTCTTGTAGAAGTGGTCTGACCAAGGCTGGACCTTCAGGGTGGCCACTACTGGACAGGGTTTCGAGACGAGGAGACACCACTTGAAATGAGTGAGACGCCTCTCGCCACGAAGACCTGCTACTGGAGGTTTTCACAAATGTGTTTTTTCCTTTTATTTAAAATTTTTATTTTATAGTGTTTTCTAAGTCGCGATTTTGACTTTAACTTATGTTACCTTCTCCCAATTTAAACGAATATTATTTTCTTTTCAAATTTAATCTACTCTATTTGCTCTTAAAATCGAATTTTAGTTTTCTTCTCCATTTTAATCGAAACTTAATACACTTTTGCCTAAAAGTAAATTTTATTTTCGCTTCCCAATTTTATTTGAAATTCTCTTTAAATTACGTCATAAGAAACAGTTTCAGAATTAAATGAATCAAAAAGTATGATATTTTGTAAGATCCACCCTATCGATCTATAGCCAATAGATTTTCATTTTTTAAAACATTTATACAACTCTTTTCGCGCACTGCATTGAACCTTCTTCTTTCGAATGGTACCGTTTTGGCATAAAAATTAATAATATCGATAACATAGAGCAACAAATTTGACAAGTATAAGGTGGTGACTATGTAGAAGGACTATCAACTAATGTTGTGAATTAACCTTAGAAAGATAACCATATGACAACGTACGTAAAAGATAACCATACGCTTCAGAGGCGCATGCTTTTCTAAGGCGTCAATTTTATACTAACAATGGATATTTATTTAAGTTAATCTAGCCATTTTAAAGGTTTGGCATTATTGTAAAAATAAAATGCATTTATATTATATTTTTTTATATTTTAAGTAATTTTAAACTTAAATCATTAGACCTCTATGAAAAATTAACAAAAATCAACAGTCTTCGCAGGCGCCTCTGCGACGTAGGTTATCTTTCTCGGGTTAATGTAGAAGAAGTACAAGGAACACAATTAAATTTCTATATATTAATTATCAATGAACGTAACACAATAACATCATTTATGATTAGAAAATATCAATATCAAAAAGAATTCAAAATTTGCAGCTATTAGCTCGGTATCATCCTCGATTCAAAACTCATTGCAATTCGCAACATATTCTGGGCCGAGGATGATACCGATTACCCAGGTCTCACCGCGAGGAGGTTGCTGCTTTAAAGACCCGAAAGGGTGTCAGAACGAAGTCGGAATTCGCGCTATGGCTCCCTTTCTTACAACGACGACTTATAAACTAATACACTCACTCGCCAACTAGCTAGCACATACCCACACACACGCACACATAAGCTCGCATATGCCAAGTATTATTGTGGACCAAAGTGGATCAAAGAAGAAGTCTCCGATCCACAGGGACCAACATGAATCAGAACAGACGGTTCTGATTTTTCGAAACTACTCGACTCGAGGGTGACGCGACGCGTACAATACTCGCACAAGTCCGGAACCTCGCAAATCTCGATGTCCGGCGTGATCACACAAAGAATGATGATCCAAAGTTGGATCCTCCCACATTGGGTGGCTATTTCTCGCCCTGCGACCTAAAACTAAGTTAGGCCGCCTTACCCATCTGAATCGGCACTAGGCGAGAGCCTACGCTGGTAAAAACCTGTGTGACCATTTCTCGCCCAACGGCCCGCCCCTGATAGGAGCTAAGGACGGATTACTGGCCGAACAGCGACCAAGAAAAAGCCTTCCCAAAAAGGGAGGGTTCCGCGTCCGAATCATCACGCCGCATGATCATTCGCCAAACATCAAGAAGTGTTCGGACTTACCCAAGAGATTGCGCAAGCAAGGCCGCCACAGCAGAAGGTTG